TTCGAATTGAAAGTACTTCGTAATCATAGAACACCAAAAGGCTCCTTCGTAAAACTACTCTAACACTATGTTTGATTCAAGAAATTTGAAAGGGAAAAGAAAAGAAAATGAAGTGGAAAACAGTTTTTCTTGTTTGGCTAGAGGGGAAAAGAAAGAAAAAGTGGAAAGAAAAGAAAATAAGAAAGCAAAATGTATAAGTAGAGAAAAACCAAATTCCTCCCATTTTAGTGAGGAAAATGAGAAAAAAAAACTATTTTGTTCTCTTGTCCTTTCAAATTCCTTGAACCAAACATAGTGTAAAGATTGAACGAAAGCACACATTATGGATACATCAATGTTTTCTTATACACAATAGCTTTATTTTTTACTGGATCGCCTTTGTGGTTTCTGAACTTTGTTGATTGTATCATCAACATCTGGTGGTCAAGTAGAGTTTTTCCCTAGAGAAGAAGAGTGGGAAGAAATGTTACACGATAGGTGCAAGGTCTCTTAAGATTGCGTGGGGTGACACACCTGCATATTGGAAATGGATTTCTCACCCTCACTCCAGGTACGGGGTTAATACTAGTACCTACTTTTGTTAGATTTCAATTACACCCCCACCCGGGTCATTCGATTGCACCCCCTAGTTAATTTTGACTTTGCAGTCAAATTTTGATTTCAGAGTCAAAATTAACTTGAAGGGGTGCAATTGAAGGAGCGTGGGAGTGTGTTCGGGTCGGGACGGGGTGGATTGAGGATAGGGTTTGTCGGAGGGTAAAAAACCGTCAATTTTACGAACGGGGCACCGGAACACCCCAGCAGGGTCGTCCCATGACAATGCCAAGGGAACGGCGCGCCGGCCTCTATAAACAAAAGGATACGGTTGTTTGGTCTTCAAGAACTCGATCAAATTTTGATGGTGGTGTTTTTTTTTTCTTCAATGAACTATTAGGTTTGCCGAAGTTGCGGAGCTTCTAGCCGTGTGTTGGCTTGAAATATCTGGCACCATAAGCATGACCTTTCTGTCACCCAACACAACCTACGCAGCTTATCTTGTCTTTGCGTTGATACCGGGAGCCCGTGGTTTTGATTACCATCGGGACTTCATTGCCGAATACAATCCGGTCAGCGCTGCTATCGAGATAAAAATCAACGGAGACGATGAAGACGAAGCCAAAAAAGAGCAGGGTGTGTTTTTGAGCACCCGAGAAGACGTAACGCGGGAAGAATACCGACCGATGATACTAGAAGAATGGGGTCACAGGTGTTCTCGTGCCGGGAGACCGAACTGGCTGGATCCCGGTACGGAGAACAACGCCCCAAAGTTCCCGAAAAGGAGGAGCCATGCGGCATGGATGGAAGTTGAGATTGGGGAGTTTTTTGTCAAGGATGGAGGGCAACATGGTGAGATTGTCATGAGTTTGATGGAGGTAAGAGCTCACTGGAAAAGTGGTTTGATTGTTGAAGGGATTGAGATTCGGCCCAAGTACCACTAAATAAAACAGAACTTAAATTGTTTTATTCCCTAAATAGCACTTAATAATGTCCATAATGTCCAATGATGACAAATATTTACTTGAATAATGACTAATGAATAATGACTAATGAATAATGACTAAAAGTGCTATATTGGGAAAAAACACATGTGATGCTATTTAATGAAAGTCATTATGTTTTAGTGCATAAATTCTCTATTAAGAAAATGCCAAGCTTCACATTCTAGACTTCACACAGACAATTTTACATAAAATCATGTCTTTGAGTGTCATGTGAATGGGGTGTGTGTGTCTATATATATATATATATATATATATATATATATATATATATATATATATATATATATATATATATATATATATATGGTGAAGCTTCTTGTACTCTTTTCAGCTTTGTTGATCAATGTATGTAGCTATATTAATGTACGTAGTATGTCCCTAAACATTAACTGTATTATCTAATTTCTCTTGCATCAACTTAAATGCATCTATCCCTATTTTTGTGCGAGTGTAAAGTTTGTCTACATACACTCTACATTCTTTTCAATTCTTGATGTGTGAGATTTTATTTATTGGATTTGTTGTTGATATCGTTGTCTTCTTAAGTTACCTCAAATGGAAATTTTGGGGCGAGCTTGGAAAATTCTCACTTTGCCTCTAAAGGAATGTTGTTGACAATTTTTATTGACAGTTAAATAAGAAAGTATAATTATGTTATTTATTGTTTTGTAAATTGTTGGATATAGTTTCAAATATATAAAGTTTATTTTTTTAATTTCTTTACAATCCATACAATAAATAAAATTAAAAATAATTTCAATCCATTCTTATTAATCATAAACTAGTGCTCTTTTGTGGATGAACGAGTATGTTGTGTTCGATAAAGAATAGGTAAATTTTACTGTTGACCTAATAATAAGATTCACGATGGGTTTTCATATAGATAGGTCAGGTAAGTAAATGCATACTAATGAGATGACTTGTTCTTTTAATTTAAAAAGTTGCAAAACGAAAAAAAAGATATTTGTAAGAAGATCTACAAATGGTGTGGATTTTAGGTCTACAACACAAGTACTCAAATACAAGTACTCATAAGGGTAATAAACAAATGTAGATGTAGCAATAAGACTTCATACATTTTAATGCACCAAAACGAGAAATCACACATTTTAATGAACCAAAAGTTCAAAAGTAGTTTTAAAACACAATTTCAAATGTCCTTAAGATAATGCTTGAAAATTAAAAATTCATTAATATTTCAATTTTAAAATTTGAATTCTTAAGTTTCAAAGAATAACAAGAGTGTATGAATTTTTATTAATATGCTTAGTTAGAAATCAGAGAAATTTAGACCAAATCCACATTTTAATATTCTCAATTACTCATCTGTTTCTATGAACAATTCCTACTTTAACTTTATGCCGAAATTAGGAATGGTGAACTTGAGGATGACTTTCCCATACTACCCCTAGGGTTCCATACGTGGGCTGAAGACCAAAGCAACAAAAAAAGAAAGGGAAAAATAAACAATCACATCAAATTTGGGAAAATTTTAAACTTTCTTCCAAATATTTCATATTTTAATGAAGTTCTAAAACTACATCCATAAAAACCTCAACAGAACCCAACATTAAACACACTTTCATACTTTCATCTTTTCGCAAAACAACCGAGCATTAAATGCAAATCACTTCCTTCCATTGCCATTAATGGCAGCCTAGTTCTTTTCCGCACCCGCTGAAACAACAAATTTTAATGCTGATTCGGTTGTCGATGCTGATCTGTTGCCCCACTCGTGAATTTTCCTTTCAAAGCTTTCAACACCCTTGAAATAGAGAACTCAAACTGTATATCTGATGTACAAGCAAGAAACGAAACGAGTAAAAAAATAATCGATGCAATTTTACAAAAATACAATAACGGCAAACTTCAGCATGGGTTAATTGAGTTGGTCTCTAAGGACTTCAACATTTCAGATCGTTTGGTTCAAGACCTATGGAAATTTCCAAATCTCATTTTATTTCTCTCTTATATATCACTTTTTATAAAAAATTATAAAAAAATTTCAATTACTCTCATACCCATCATTGTATTATATGTTCAATCTTTAAATGTCAATTTCTTAAAACGCAAGGGTAGAGCTTGAAGAGTTGGTGTGGTGAAGCTTGGGGTATTAGCTTCTTTACCACTAAGCCAACAAGCTTCCATCAAAATATTTTCTTAATAATTACTCTTTTGTCCAACTATTGTGTCTCATCAACTATTTACCAAGTCAAATTAATCTGTCCAACTATTCACAAGTCTCCTGTACAACTATTCACAACTTCCTTGTCTCATTTTGAATATGCTAAATATTCAATTTGAACCGCACTATTCATTCTGATATCTATTCAATATAATATTTATTCTGAAACAAGTTTTTTTCTCAGAACAATGTGATGTTCACTTTTAAACATTTTTTAATTACAAAATTGTCATTTACTCTGGAGAATGTACATCCAGTTCTACCATATAATTTGACTTCATAGACAAGCACCATTAATATTAATATATGAAAGAATGTTTTTGTGGTTCACCATCTTTCTTTTTCTTTAGCATCATTTTCAACCACCCAATTTAACATTTCTTGTATTTTGTGTCATACACAAACAAGAAGATTATTTTGAAGTGAAAGGAGTTCTATGTAATTATATGTAGAACTTAGATAATAATTGTCATTATATCCCCCTGTCTCAAAAAATGTTATAGTTTCAAATCAAAATCATTTGATTATATGTGTAAAAATAAAAGTTATATATTTAAAAAAGCTATACCAAAATTGCTACAAAATAAGAGGTGGGATGATTTTATTATTTTATCAAATAAGTAATGAAAATCAATAAAGAAAGTGGACTGAATCTCATAATTGATCCTGTATAACATTAGATTTTCTCTATTTAGTCATCTATTATCAAATATTATCCTGATGATCCTTTTTATGGGTATCTTTCCACAAATAATCCCTTTTATAATTTATTGTCATATTCGTGTCAATATGAATGCTTAAAATGTAATTTCACAATGATTATATAGTTTTCGTGTCATAGACAATTTTAGAGGCTGCTTCTGATGCGTCGTTTGTAAGTTACTATGACCATGGACTAGGATTTCAACAACAGACTGTTGTTGAAATCCTAGTCCATGGTCATAGTTATTATTGTTGTGTTGTCCGTATAACAGACATTATAATACGTCACTGAACATGAGGTTGATGTCAAATTATACTTTTAGCCCTCAAATTAATACCAACATGACAGAACATAGAAAGACTATTTGTGCAAAAGTACCGATAAAAGAAAAACCGACGTAATACTCCCCCGTCCAGAAATATTTTTTCTATTTGACTTTTCACGTTCTCCATTATTGTACTTTAACCAATAATATCTATATTTATATATAGATGTAATTTGTAAAAAAATTAATATTTCAAAACTACGTTTGAATAGAAATATATAGATATTAAATTTATATCATAATACAATTTATTTTTTTTAATATATCATAATTAAAATTTATAAACTTTCATAATAAAAAATCAAATGAAAAGATCATTTTGGGAGTACTTGATAATAGAGACCAATTATGGGATAGGGAGCATTATTTTCGGGTCGGGGGATATGCCGTGTGAGATATGTGTATGACCGCCTTTCTTAGCTCCTTTTACAATCTTAAGTACCAAGCAAATGTTTATACAAGAAGGAATTCGTTGAGGTCGAATTTGGTTGTTGTGGGGAACCCCCGAAGTCCCAACGGAAAAAGCCCGCGGCGTCGCAGCTACCTTAGATATCAGTTGAAACTCCCCCCGCGCAATTTTCAATGTCGGCGGAGGCCAGCCTGGACGCCCTGCCGGAAGGTTGCATCGCCGACGCTCTGTCGCTGACGAGCCCCAGAGACGCTTGCCGCCTCTCCCTGATCGCGTCGGCCTTCCGCTCCGCCGCCATGTCCGACGCCGTCTGGGAGCGGTTCCTTCCTCCCGATTACCGTGATATCATTTCCCGGTCTGCTGACGCCGCCGATCTGCTCGCCTCTGCCTCCAAGAAGGATCTCTACTTCCGTCTCTGTGATTTCCCCGTCCTTATCGACGGCGACACCATGGTAACCGTTTGACTTTTGTCTACTTTTAGAATTAATTGATGGGGAGATTTGAAGAGAGTTGAAAGACCAATATTTATTGAAATTTTCTAAAAATTTAATTTTTTCCTGTAATTGGTTTTCAAATTTTATATGAACCGTGTTCGATATTGGACCAAGGATTTAAATTGTTGGTAAAATTATGCTTTTAGATGTAGAAATGATGTTTTGGTAATATTTTTACCAAGGATTTCAAAAATATAGGTTTATTAGGTTTTGTGTCACATAAGCTAATCAGTCTACTTTAGATTTAATTGATGGGAAGATTTGAAGAGAGTTGAAAGACCAATATTTATGGAAATTGTCTGTAAATTTAATTTTTTCTGTAATTGGTTTTCAAATTTGATATGATTTGTGTTCGATATGGGAAAGAATTTAGGATGGGAAAGAGTTACTTGATTGGGCAATAAGACACTTGGGTTGAACCACGCTAAAAATTGAATCTAATCGATTACTTTGTTCAATTCAAGAGCTTATATACCGAAACTGGTATACTCTTCAAGTTCTGATGTGGGATACTCTTTAACAGACCAAGGATTTAAATGATTGGTGAAAATATGCTTTTATATGTAGAAATGATGTTTTGGGAATATTTTTACCAAGGATTTCAAAAATATAGGTTTTGTCACATAAGCTAATCAGTTGTATTCGGTCTAATCAAATTGTATATTTTGTATTCAATTTTTTAGTATTGTATAATTGAATCCAATTATGAAAGTTATCAGTTATCACTTCTTCAAGGAGCTCTTAGTAAATGTTTTTTTCCCTAGTGTTTTTATGATAAAATCGTCCTGTTTCGTTTGACATTAACTTTAGTATTTACCTTAGCATTCTGAAATTGGTTTTAGTATTTTCAATGTTAACCTGCAACTTTAAAAAAGAGATCTAAAATGTTATTCACAAACGTTGTTCCCAAACTAAGTCTTCTTCTTCGAATTCGAATTGAAAGTACTTCGTAATCATAGAACACCAAAATGTTCCTTCGTAACACTACTATAAAGATTTAACGAAAGCACGTATTATGTATACATCAATATTTTCTGATACACAATAGCTTTATTTTTTTTGCTGGATCGCCTTTGTGGTTTCTAAACATTGTTGATTGGATCAACATCTGGTGCTCAAGCAGAGTTTTTCACTAGAGAAGAAGAGTGGGAAGAAATGCTACATGATAGGTGCAAGGTCCCTTAAGATTGTGTGGAGTGACACACCTGCATACTGGAAATGGATCTCTCACCCTCACTCCAGGTAAACACTATTTCAAGTACCAATGTGCTGAATTTCATTGCTTTTTGGATTCTGACTTTTAATGCCCCTGACCCAATGGGTACTGGTTTTTAATTTTTAGGAGAGTAGTCTATGGATAAGACTTGGAGAAAAATCTAAACTTTAATTTCTAACCCTGCAATGCTCACGCAAATTACTATTAATTTTACTTGCACCATTCCTCCAATATGGCTGAGAGTTTCAAACTTTTTGTTTAGCGATTTCATTGAATGCTTATCTTCATTTGTGATTATACAAGAGTTATGACTTCAGGTTGCTAGTGTCGCTATGTGTTTTTTATGTCTCTATGCTCTTAATTTATTCATGCTACTGTGTTTTCTTTGTATGTGCGTTTGTGGTTGAACCGGGGGTCTCTTGGAAACATCCCCTTTACTTCCTAGTAGGAATAAGGTTGTCAAACACGTCTTCTCGGACCATAGTTTTGTAAGATTTTACTAGGATTGTTGTTGCTGAAGCATGACACTTTCACAGGACGAATGGAATACATCTGTTTTTTTCTTTGCAGAAAAACATAATAGCCTTGTCAATTCTTCAATATATATTCCCAAAAGGATATGGTTGTTTGGACTTCAAAAACTCTTGAGAGGTAACTAAATGTTGATGGTGGTGTTTTTTTCTTCAATGAACTATTAGGTTTGCCGAAGTTGCCGAGCTTCTAGACGTGTGTTGGCTTGAAATATCTGGCACCATAAGCATGACCTTTCTGTCACCCAACACAACCTACGCAGCTTATCTTGTCTTTGCATTGCTACCAAGTGCCCGTGGTTTTGATTACCATCGGGACTTCATTGCCGAATACAATCCGGTCAGCGCTGCTATCGAGATAAAAATCAACGGAGACGATGAAGACGAAGCCAAAAAAGAGCAGGGTGTGTTTTTGAGCACCCGAGAAGACGTAACGCGGGAAGAATACCGACCGATGATACTAGAAGAATGGGGTCACAGGTGTTCTCGTGCCGGGAGACCGAACTGGCTGGATCCCGGTACGGAGAACAACGCCCCAAAGTTCCCGAAAAGGAGGAGCCATGCGGCATGGATGGAAGTTGAGATTGGGGAGTTTTTTGTCAAGGATGGAGGGCAACATGGTGAGATTGTCATGAGTTTGATGGAGGTAAGAGCTCACTGGAAAAGTGGTTTGATTGTTGAAGGGATTGAGATTCGGCCCAAGGAGTAGGAGGAGGATGGTAAATGAAATAATGAATAGTTGTTGTAATAAAGAAAATGTCAAGCTTGACATCCCTAGACTTCACACAGACAGTTTTACATAAAATCATGTCTTTGAGTGTCATGTGAATGGGGTATATGGTGAAGCTTCTTGTACTCTTTTCAGCTTTGTTGAGCAATGTAATGTATGTCCCTAAACATTAGTTGTATTATCTAATTTCTCTTGCATCAACTTAAATGCATCCCTATTTTAGTGAGTGTAAAGTTTGTGCACATAAACTCTACATTCTTTTCAAATCTTAATGTGAGATTTTATTGGATTTGTTGTTGATGTCGTTGTCGTCTTAACTTACCTCAAATGGATATTTGGGGTAAGTTTGGTAAATACACACTCTGCCTCCAAAAGAATGTTGTTGATTCACTATTGAGGAATCAAGCTTTTTTTCTTTAACTATTTTTATTGATAATTAAATAAGACAGTATAATTAAATTATTTATTGTTTTGTAAATTATTTGATATAGTTTTTAAATATATGAAGTTTATTTTTTTATTTCTTTACAATCCATACTATATATAAAATTAAAAATAATTTCAATCCATTCTTGTTAATCATAAACTAGTGCTCTTTTGAGGATGAATGAAGTATGTTGTGTACGATAAAAAGTAGGTAAATTCTAATGTTAACCTAGGATTTACGATGGATTTCATATAGGTTAGGTAAGTAAATGCATACTAATGAGATTACATGTTTCTTTAATTTTAAAAAGTTGCAAAAAGAAAAAAAGAAAAGAAATTTGTAAGAAAATCTACAAATGGTGAGGATTTTATGTCTACAACACAAGTACTCAAATACAAGTACTCATAAGGGTAATAAAAAATGTAGATGTAGCAATAAGACTTCATACATTTTAATCAACCAAAAAGAGAAACCACACACAACTACCCTTTATTAACCAGAGCATATTACCTCTGTCTCTGAGTATTTGTCTAGTTTTGATTTTTTTCGGTCAACTATTTTTAACCTTTCACTTAAATATATATTGTATATTTATTAGATAAACTAATATTTTAAAAATATTTGATATAATAAATCTGATGAAGGAGACAACCGCTCAAAAAATGATATTAGAAGAGCGGGGTTCCCTCCTTGTTTTTCCCATTAGCCAACGGTCCATTTTTTAAATTAGCCGTTAGGGCTAAAAAAAATTCAAAAATTTTCAAAATTCTCACTATTTAAACACAACACTTTTACTTTTATAAAATTAAAGTAAAAAGTGAAGGGGAAAATGGGAAGGTATTTCCCTCGAAGGAGAATGGAAGGAAAAGTAAAAGCTGACATGGCATTGAGTTTGCACAAGGGGAAAAGGGGAAGGCACTCAACATTAAACACACTTTAATCTTTTCCCAAAGCAACCGAGCATTAAATGCAAATCACTTCCTTCCATTGCCATTAACGGCAGCCCTGTTTTTTTCCGCACCCACTAAAACAACAGATATTGATGCTGATTCGGCTGCCGATGCTAATTCCATTGCCGACCTGTTGCCTCCACTCGTGAATTTTCCCTTCAAAGCTTTCGACACCCTTGAAACAGAGAACTCAAACTGTATATCTAGTGTACAAGAAAGAAAAGAAAGGATTAAAAAAATAGTCGATGCAATTTTATAAAAATACAATAATGGCAAACTTCAGCATGGGTTAATTAAGTCGGTCTCTAAGGACTTCAACATTTCAGATCGTTTGGTTCAAGACGTATGGAAATTTCCAAATCTCAATTGGTAAGGGGCCAAGCTGTACATAGATGCTCAATGCAGATGACATGGCAACTCACGGAAAAAATTAAAGGTATCAATGTGGACTTGTCAAAGATGACTTACATTCCATTTCACCAATGCCACACATTACGTGTTCTAAGTTACTGCATGAATGTCTCCATTACTACAACACACAGGTGGCTCAAGAATAAAAAGATAAAAAGACATCCAAGTGTCATAAAATCCCATCTATGTGAAAAAGGTAAGTTAAAAAGTTTTAAGTATTGTTTGGCTCTTATTTCTCCCCACATCACTACCAAAATTAGACCTTAATAGAATCATATGTTCCGTTTCATTATTTTTAGTTTTTACACGTTTAAGGATAAATTTGTTCGTTTTTTTCTAAAAAAGTGTGGATATATAGCAAAAGAGGAAAGAATTTAGCCAAATCCCAACACTAATAATAGGGTGGGGTTCTAGTGCCACTGGAGTACGGTGCCACTCCGGTGCCACTGGCATTTTGGGGCACCTCCGGTGCTCCGTTCGCAAAATTGACGGTTCCTACCCCTCCAACCCACCCCCTAAACCCCCCACCCTACCCCGCCCCTGCACCCCCACCCCAACCCTGCACCCCCACCTTTCACTCTGATGCATAATAATCCCAACTTTATTGAAATTTGCCAGTTTTGGGTCGCCGTTAAGTTTCTAACGGAGGGTTAACGGAAATGTCTGTTTTAGGCAACAAAATGAAAGTTGGGATTATTTTTGATGAATTTTTGTTTTCTAATTTTTTTTGAAATTTTTATTTAAAAATTTTGAATTACTTTCAACCTCAATTTTTTTTTCTTTTTTAAAGATTATTCTTACCTTAGAAAAAAATGGATATAAAAAATAATGAAAATGAAAAAAATAACTAAAACCATACAAAATTAATCAAATAAATAATGTAATCAATAGAAATTAAACAGAAACTGGTAAGAAATAAAATAAATATATACAGAGTGGTGGGTTTTAACATTTTACACACTATACGGAGTCTTAATGTACTACTTCCGTCCCAGAGTATTTGTCCACTTTCATTTTTACACACCATCCAGTACAATTTTTAAATTCATTTTATCTTGTAATTTGTATATTAAATAATTATAGAAATTATATATTAATAATCTATATGCTAAGACAAATCAAAAAAATCACACATGACTATATTTAGGCTTACACATTGAGAGAATTTGATGAGTCAAAGTGCTTAGATGAACAGTTCCAAAAGTCAAAAGTGGACGAATATAGCGGGACGGAGGAAGTACTTATTTTTTAAAAGAACAAGCCGTCCGGTAAAGTTAGAATTATTTTAGATAATTTTTTCTAAAAAATAAGAAGTGATATATTAATACTTTGTATAATGCGTAAAATATTAAAACCCACCCGTATATTTTTATTTTACTTTTACCAATTTCAAGTTAGTTTCCATTGATTACCTTATTTGTTTTATTATTTTTGTATCATTTTAGTTACATTTCTCATTTTTTCATTTTTTATATCTATTATTTTTATTTTTTAAACAAAGACTAATCTTTAAAAAAGGAAAAAGAAATGACGATGGAGGTAGAAAGTAATTTAAAAAATTTAAATGAAAAATTAAAAAAAAATAAAAAAATGAAAATTCATCAAAAACAATCCCAACTTTCATTTTGTTGTCTAAAATGGGCATTTCCGTTAACCCTCCGTTAGAAATTTAACGACGACCCAAAACTGACAAATTTCAGTAAAGTTGGGATTATTATGCATCACAGTGAAAGGTGGAATTATTTTTGAAAGACCGGGTAAAGTTGGGATTATTTTGGGTAATTTTTCCTAATAATAAATTACAAAAAACGAAGTAAAATAAATAAATAAAAGTAAATAAATGAAGTTCATTCCCCCCCTCCCCACTTTTTAAGGAAAAATGAGAACAAAGTGGGAATAGGAAAGCGCCATCTCCACCCAAAAACATGTACGCGCATGCATTTCTCTATCTCTTCCGAATCTGCGATCGATCCCCCCACCCAAATGGTGCGTCGTTTTGCCATTATCCTAGCTACCCACCCACCCACCCTCGCTTTCTCCTGCTATGCTACTCCTCGTCACTGTCCCTACACCCCCCACCTTTCTTCCATCTCCTTCCCCTAGCTAGCCTGCAGCCTAGGGTTCCTCCGGCGCCAGCCGTCGTCCATCTCTTCCCGGAGGACCCTCCTTTTCCCTCATCCCGTCCGGTCGGATCTGGCGCCGAACCTCCCCTCCCCTCCCATCAATTCATTATTGTTTTTGTTCTTATAATTCACATACCTTTTGGCTGGCTGGCTGGCTTTGATCGTCTCTGATCCATGCACGCATTATATGCATATGCATATGTATACATTTAGGTGTTCGGTTTGATGTCGAATGATATAGGAGGGACTCGCAACGCGGATATCTTGTCGTTGACGCCTGCCGGATCGAGACATGAGCTGCTTCTTCCCGTGTTTTCGGAACAAAGAAGAAGAAGAAGACGTCGGCAAGGAGCAGCTCCTTGTTGCCCAGCCGCCGCCGCTCCTCGGCTCCTCCTCGCCTCAGGCCACACCCACCACCTTCCTTAACAAGGGTATGCCCTGTATATGCATGCATGCATGAAATAATTAGGATACGTTACATAATTAATTAAGTCTATACAATAATAATAATAATGGTCTTATAATTAATCACGTGAAGAATAAAGCAATCAATCAAACAATTAACTCCAAACTAAGCACATATTGGGGGGAATGCATATGCAGAGTGCAGTCCGACAACGCCACCACCGGAGATAATCCCCCCTTCACCCGTTGCTCCCAGCAACAAAACTTTTGTATCTAAGGGGGGCACCGAAGAAAGTGGGAATCCCAATGCCAAGACCTTCACTTTCCGGGAGCTAGCCAGTGCAACAAAGAACTTCCGGCAAGAATACCTCACTGATGAAGGTGGATTTGGAAAAGTGTTTAAAGGAACACTTCAAAATGAGAAGGTATTTATTTATGTATAGAACGAACAATTATGTCAGGCAAGACCGCTCTCATCCTTTAGAGTTTAGATAAGTTGACCAACTCCGGATCTAAAGGTTGAGAGTATCAATACCTCAAGAACATGACGTTTCTTTTGCACTATTTACATGTCAAACTTTAACTTCTTTCTTTACCTGGTCTCGAAAAATCATTTGTTAAAACTACACAGTCAAGTCACTACTTATTTTGTAGAGGTTTTGATAGTTTTTAAATACAGTATATGATTTGTTTGCATCAATAGTTAAATAAACTGAATCGAGAATATCTCTACTCAAGCTTTTAAGACGGATGGAAGTCTGTACATACTCCATCTCCTCTTAATCAACCACTCTCGATTCTTATGGTCTGAATTTTTTTGTTACTTTGATTCGACACATTTATTTAAAAAATAAGATTAACCACAGGTTGTGACCGTCAAACGACTAGATAGAACAGGGGCACGTGACAGCAAGGACTTCTCAGTGGAAGTGCTGGTGTTAACCCTTCTACACCACCCTAATCTTTTAAACCTTATTGGATATTGCGCTGATGGTGAACAGAGACTTTTGGTCTATGAATACATGCCTATGGGTTGTCTTCAAGACCATCTTTTTGGTGAGCACTACTCCTTTCATCTATTTGGTTCACAAGAGTAATTGCTAAATACACCTAGTGACTCATTATAGTCATTAGAGTAAACCAATCTTGAAAATTGGGGATGCATCCTAAAAAGTCAACTTGATAGAATGAGTACTTCAATGTCTTATATGTAGGGATATACTCCGTAGTTTTATATTTAGCTGATGTGAGATTACTTAAAACAACTTGCCTATTTGGCTGAAGTCAATTTTGGCAAATTATCAAATAGCATTCCTTAAATACAATCTTAGTGCTTCCAATGCTCAAGAGAATGTAGCAAATTATTATTGGTTCAACTCTTTTTTTTTATATTTTGTAACAAGTGCAGACCTAACAGAGGATAAAGAACCACTAAATTGGCTCACCAGGATGAAAATAGCTTCTGGAGTTGCCCAAGGACTAGAATATTTACATGAGAAGGCCAACCCTCCCATCATATATAGAGATTTGAAATCATCGACTATTTTGTTGGACCAAGATTTTAATCCAAAGCTTTCTGATTATGGTCTTGCTAAGCTTGAGGGCAGAGGGAGTAATACACTTTTGACACCAGGGGTCATGGGAACCGGCTATTGTGCGCCAGAGTATGAAAGGACAGGTGAACTCACATTGAAGTCTGATGTTTACAGCTTCGGAGTTGTTCTGGTTGAGCTTATATCAGGCCGCAGAGCTGTGGATCCTGCAAGACCATTAGATCAACAAAACCTAGTGGAGTGGGTAGGTTACTAAATCTGAAAACCAAATTTTAATGTCCAATACATATATTCTCTCATCTTGATTAGTGAATTTAGGTGTTCTGTTAACCATTTTGGCTATGAAAATACTAATTTAAGAAAATGACATATTATTTGGAGATAGATTCTAGCCACGTTTTGATAGTTAAAACATTTATGTCATATTAGATTTTGGATAAAGGTTGAATATCTAAAAATCCTTCCGGAAAGTTAGAGTAATTTCACTACTAACCACGAAATTTTGGCTAGATTCTAGCCTTATGACATTGCTCTAGGTAAAATATACAACTTTAAATTAGTGTTTGACATGCATTATGATAAGACATTCTCGCAACAATAAAAGTAAAAAGATTGTAAATTGTAGATTCTTTGTGTTAGATTCTCTATGCTTTAGTTTCTACAGAACTAGTGTCTTTTCTAAACTAAGAAAACTTGGGCTTTATTCCTATAACATCTCTTCATTGCTTGTCAAGTAAACATGCATATAAGCAGCACAACCTCTTGTATTTGTTTGGTTTGGTAACAAAATTAGTGTGTTAATTTATAAAAGAATAAAATATACTATTATCACTATTAGAATTACTCAGCCTTGGACATTTTTAGAAACACATTGAAACACTAAAATCAAGGAACCCTAAATTACATATTCTTTCATTGTTTTACTATAATTGTAGCTTCTTGATATCAGCTTTTCATGCTTAGTTTTGTTTGGAAAGAAATATCCAAATTGTTCATCAACTAGAGATGGACACTGCAACACCTCCACAAGACATCCAAAAAGTACTCTCTAATTCTTTTTTTAAAGTTGAAAAATTTTTATAAATAAAATACGGAGTATTCATCCAAAGACTCAAATCAAAACAGTATTGGGAAACAACTTTGCTTTCAACCCTGCATTTTTAATCCGACTATCGGTAATGGAGGCTTTGATTTACCTGCAGGCACGGCCAATTTTCAGAGATCCAAAGAGATTCCCAGAAATGGCAGACCCATTACTGAAGAAGGCATTTCCAATGACAAGTTTGAACCAAGCAGTTGGTGTTGCCGCCATGTGTCTTCAAGAAGAGGCCTCAGTTCGCCCCTTGTTTGGTGACGTCGTCGCAGCTCTCAGTTTCCTAGGGGTGGCCTCAACGGACGAACCACCCGTTCCCACTGCCCAGCTAAAGGATACAGTAGGACCACCACCGGATGATCCAGAGAGAGACGCATCGGACAGCGACAGTGACAACCAAAGCAGTGACAGTAGTTCTTCTTCCTCATCAGATCACAGTGACAATGAAGACGAAGGAGAAGATACAGAGCTCCAAAGAGCTAAATCTCCAAGGATAACTAACACGAGATCAAGTAGCATCAGAAGCAATACATCATCATCATCATCGGATGATGATGATAACGACAAAAATGACTATTTTATCTCAAGGCGGACGAGCAATTCTGAAAAATCTTCGCATGAGACCGATTCGATCGACTTCAGAAATGACAGAATCTCATACACAGACGAAGCCGGCGGCGATCTGAGCAGTAATGAAGATTTGAGCTCAAGGCTGATGGTCGATTTCGACAAAGCTCCACAGGAGAGCGATTCGATCAACTTGAGAACTGACAGAATCTCAGATCCCGATGAAGACGGCGGCGATCTGAGCTTCTGTTACAGCGTTAGTGCTAGCGAAAATCTGAGATCCAACAGCAGCATCAGGGAATCAGCCGATGAAGAAGATCCTATGAAGGAGAGCATTATGAAGCCTGAGAATCGGAGTTTTGGCTCATACTCGATGAGCAGCGACGAAGGATCCGACGAAGAAGAGAGATCTCGGCGATGAAAAGATTCATCCATATTTCTTGAATTTTGTTCGCCATCAAAAACATGCATGTTTCCATTTTTGGGAAAAACTTTCCGGCGTGAATTATACTCCATTTTTAAATCTCTTCATTTCCCCCTCTACCAAAAAAACTGTACATTTTGATGCTTAATTACCAAAAGAACTCCTCTCCTTTTACTCCGTATAAAACTTTTCCCCTTTCATTTTTTTCAATTCTCTAAAACACTACTACTTTATATTAAAAAATTACTTTTATCATTATTTTTTCATACTCTACCTATCACATCATTTCTTTTTAATTTTTACTTTTACCCATCACAAGGGCAGAATTGGAAAGTCAAACAAAAATATACTTTTCTTATTTTAGCCCAAAATCAAAATAGGAAGAGTTTAAAGGAACGAAGGAGTAAAAAAACAATAAATATTTTAACGAACCAAATAGAGTAATTTCAACCCGAATAAATATATTAATATAGAGTATCATAAATATATTATTTTTACTTATATATTTCTTTAAGTAAAGCATTTATTTTGAAAATATAATTCACATTTTTTGTATGAATGTATTTTACTTGAGTTTTAAATTTAAGAAAACCCCCTAAAGAGGAGTAAAATATGTGTTGTATCCTCAAAGTAGAAGTTCAAACTTAAACTTCTCTAAGTAGGAGTAATTAACTTAATTAATAAAAGTATTCATACAGTGTATTGTATTTTCCAAAAAAATTGGTTAATTCATACGCAATTAATTATTTTTTGTCACTGTGCATAGAAGTAGGAGTAATTAATTATTTTTTCGATTAAAAAAATAATTCATACGTATTCATACAGTGTATGAATTAATAGAAGTATTCATACTTGACACTTGTAAATCGAAAATACAATGTACACGTATTTGTTACTGTGCATACAGTTCAATCGAAAAAATAATTCATGCAGTGTCAATTATTTAATTAATACGGAGTACATGACATTGTACAATTGAACTTTTGGCATTTTACAAAGCCACGCTCTATCACTGTGCATTGGCATCTTTGGTATTATGTTTTTGATTGACCTAAAATTTTGTATTTTTGCATCTTACAATGTCATGTTTGTCATTTTTAGCATTGTATTTTCGATTGACACCGTACGAATTATTTTTTCTCCATATACCACCATGACACTAAACCTGTGGAGATTAGTGATGACGACAACGTGAGATGATAACAGGAGCAAGAGGTGATGAAATGGTGAGTCAACAACTCTTATTTTGTGGTTTTATGTTTTCACTCCTATTTTGGATTTTAATCAATGTTTACTCCTATTTTGATCTTTAACCCTTTAAATTTTCATAGATAAATTTTTAAACATTGATAAATACTCACTCCGTCCCGGAAAACATGAGAATTTTGGTTTTGGAGAGGGATTTAAGAGGAGTGTATTTTGGTATTGAATTTCCAAAAATGTCCTTTGATGTGATGGGTAAAGTATGATTTGATGGATAGATTATTAGTAAAAAGATATGATGTGATAGGTAGGGTATGAAAAAGTAAGGAGTAAAAGTGACTTTTTAATAGAAATGAGAAGTGTTTTCTGGGACGGATGAAAAAAGAAAGGAGAAAGGTTTTCTGGGACGGAGGGAGTATCTAATACTCCCTCCGTCCTAAAACTTTCTTCTCACTTTCCCTTTTTCCCCGTCCTAAAACTATCTTCTCACACACTTAAAAAGGTATGTAATGTCTAAAATACCCCCACCTTCACATTTACGCCACAACCACCACACTAACTCCACATTTACGCCACAACCTTATCTCTACTCCTGGACTCTTCGCCTCCTCTCTCTAAACCTAGATCTAGATCGATTGTCTCTCCATCTCGCCGTTTCTGCATCTCTCGTCCTCGCCATGTCTCGTCCTCGCCATGTCTCGTCCTCCCCATCTCTGTGTCTCTCCTCCTCGCCCCTCTCCGTCTCACCCTCTATTCGTGTCAGTGTAAATTTCTTCTCCCACAAAACCCTAGATCTAATCTTCATCCCCAACATTGATATGGATTCTCAGATTTCTAAGATCCAGTTACTTGTTGAATCTCAAATCACTAAGTACTATCAAGGGATGAAGCCCAAAGATGAGAGGTTTGAGAACGGAGAGAGAGAATATCGATTCATTACATAGTGAGGACAGAGAGAGTGAGTCCTCTAAGACCAGCTCTGAAGTTGGCATAGTCATTGCTGACACCGAATACGAGGAAAGTGAGATGGAGGATGAGTAGATGCGAAGCTTTGGGAGCAAATTGGATGAAGAGCAGCCAGGTCTTGAGATGGGCAGCCACTCGAGTCTCCTAGAAGAAGGGGTTGGCGTGGCTCAACCAATTCAGGGCTTGCTTTCTCATCCGGAGTGGAAAGTGAAGTTACTCTTTCTTTATTCTTTGCATTTTCATGGGTAGTTGCACACATTATACTACATACATAGCGATGATGAATATGTGATTAACTTGTCTAGGTCAAGTAGTTCATTAAGGTACATAATGTGAGTGGTAGTAAAAGAAAACCTAGAGGAGTACATTTCGAGTGGCTGCCTTGATGGTGAAACAAAAAAGTCAAGGTCTTACTAACCTACTCTTCATTACTTACATATTGCATATACAAAATTCAAAAGCCAAAAACATGTACCCAGGCATTCACAAAAAAAAACCCTTAGTGTTATGAAACACACTCAGTTCATTTCTGAAGATGAGAACGCTTCTCCGTCTTCACTCATGAACTGAGGCAATACTTGCTCTTCATTTTGCACAGACATATTGGTCAGCACCCTTACTGTTTTCTCCAATAGTGTTTGGGTACATTTAGAGTCACTGACAATCTTCTTTCTCTAGCTAATCTGTCCTTTGCCATATGTGGTAGCTTATACTTGTTTCCTCCATCATTATTCATTACTTCCTGCATCACATGTTGGTAGCTCAACCATACTTTGTTCAATGTTTGTGGAGTAAGTGCTGCATATGCACCCTTAACTGCCTCAACTAGTTCTGCCACATTTTTTAGGAGCAGTTTTCTCTTTCAGTGATTGGATGGCTCTAAAAAACCCAAGTCTATAATGTTGAGGTCTGGGGAGTTGGGGGGGTGGTTAGTTAGGATGATGTTGAAGCCATTCACACTTGCTGCTGCCATAAACTCTGGATTTGTGGCAGAAATGTGTGGCTTTGCATTGTCTTGCTCGAGAACTATGTTCCTATCCAAGAAAGAGGGCCACTTCTCCCTAATTGCAGGGATAACCTGGTTCACCAGCATATCTTTAGTCACTTCTTTGGAGACACTCAGAAGTTGTTTCACTTCTAATACCCATGCCTCCCTGTTTTTACTCTTTCTTTTAGCAGCCACAATTTCAACAAAAGGAAATATTCCAATTTTTCCATCCCATAAAATCTCTCCATTCTCTGATATGAATGGTCTACCAACAACACATAAGAACATGACCTTAGTAATGAAGCGCTTAGACTTGCATGTTCTGTATGGATCCATTTCATCATTGGTAAGATAATACTTCTGTGATGTTTTAGACATGAAAAACCACTTCTCATCCATGTGCAGAACATTGTGAAATGTTTTAAATCTGGGATTACATGGGATGCTAGTGGGTTCCAATTGATTCAAACAGAACTGCAATCTATTCAACATGTTTTCATCTGTTAAAAGGGGTTTGATTGCATTTGAATGACTTCTTAGCAAACCTCTTTTAATACAAAGATGAATGGTTGATTTAGACATACCGAGGGAAGCTGCCAGTGCTTTAATGGTTGTCCTTTGGGCAAGAGGAGTGTTTTCAATGGACTTAATGTCAATAAAAACTCTTTTTTCTTCCGATCCTGAATTCACTGGAAGTCTGCTTTTCACATAAATGGCAACACCCTCTAGTAGTTGTTTTCTAGCTTTGCTCCATATGTCACCTATTGTCCTTCTTGAAACATTAAAATCTGCAGCAACTTTGCTGATAATCCTTTCTGAGCTGTGTACTGCCCCGAGGTGTTCTTTTTTGAATATGGTAGAATGAGTTTAACAATTCTTTTTCTTTGTGCATTGGAAAGTCTTTTGGTAATTTCTTGATGTTCACTTTGCAGATTCTCATGACGGCTTGGGTTGAAAGAGGGAGCAGGGGAAACAGTGAAAGAAGAGTGGTGAGAGAGAGTAGCAGGAGAATCTGCCACAGGAGGGGGCATAACTGATGGGAAGAGAGGAGAAGGAAGAAAGATTATTAGGGTTACTAAAAGTAGAAAGATTTGCTTTTTATAGTGTAGTAATCCTGCAGTTTTTCTTTTTGTGTTGGAGGGAAAAGTTTCCCTCCAAACTGAATTTTGGAGGAAATGTAATGGTACTATTATGGATTTTCCCTCCTTCCTGATTATAATGGTTGCTTTTCGGATTTTTTCCTTAAGGGGCTATCCTTATTTATGTTAAATTGAATGTTTTGTGTTTAATGTTTAATGGAATGTTTTGTGTGCTTTTCTCCCTAATTGCGTTTATTTTTTTTCAAATTCTAATTTTTTTGTTAAAAGGGTAAAATGGGAAGTCAAAGCCTAATTATACAACCCCTTAAAAATGAGAAAAAGTCAAACCGGGGAGAAAGTTTTAGGATGGAGGGAGTATTATTTATATATGATGGAGACTTGGCATTGCACATTTGGATTTCAACATGTCCAGGGCATAACTAGACCTCGTAAAACAGGTCCGGAATCGATTACTCGAACCGAATGATCCAGACCAAACCTAAAATGATTACAACCGAGAAACTGTAATGATCTAAACTGAACCAAAATCGAACTAATAAATATATCCATATCCGAATTAAAACAGAAATCCATTTGGTCCGAACGATTAGATCTGAAACTGGTTAAATCCGAAACCGATAAAACCCAAAACCGGTAAGATCCGAAATCGATAAAACCTGAAATCAATTATGCCTAAAATTAATTTTGCATGACAATAAACATATTATGTTTATGTATATTAGTGAACAATTACATATGATTTCAAATATTTATTTTTATTTTACCATATGAACTAGTTATATACTTATATTTCTTACTTCCTATGTCCAAATAAACAAAATGTAAGATTTCACGTGTTTTGATTTTTTTATAAATTGGTATAAAAATTAATATTAGAACTTACATAAAAAATGTTAGTTAAATTTTAATTTTAATTTCACAAAATAGTAAAATTTCACGTGCTTTGAAATGCATTTAATTTCACTTAAATTTTATCTAATTAAATTCAATTTCACTCAATTTTAACATATTTCAACCAAATTGTGTGCGATTTGGAATCCAATTATATTAATTATATATTAGAACTAAATACATTTTTCTTTCATAATTGTAATCCAAATTTATAAAAGATGACTAAAAAGATAAAAATAGAAGATACGTAGAATGAAGGAAGTATAAAATAATATGAAGTGATGATATATTGATAAATGCGATATGACAAAAAATGAACAAATAATAAAATTTTAATTCGAAAATAACATATATGCAAATATATCCAAAATTGAAATATACCCGAATTGAAATATATTTAAATCGAAATATATCCGAATTAGAATGTATCCGAAACCAAAATCGATCCGTAGCGGTTGACATCCAAACTGAATTTAAACCGACCCATAATCGAATCGGAAACGAAAAATGTATGAAACCAAAATTAAACCAAGTCAAAATTTAACCGAACCAAACTGATTATAATTTATATCCGAAAGATATCCGAACTGAATTATTTCAAACCAAAACCGATCCGATTGATATGGTTGCCACCTTTAAGCATAACTACAAGAATAACAAGGGATTGAAGCAAATGCTGAAAGTCTTGAAAATCATTTTGGTACGAATGTTAACTGGCCAAATCGTCCCTAGGGAATGTGTTCGGATGTGCCAAATCACTCCCCACGAAAGGTAATCTATTAGCTTCTTGATCGCCAACGACAAAAGGAGTCGACCGACACCTATGGCCAACCATTAAAAGGGCAAACACACTAATCTCTCCTAGCAAGCTAAGGCAGATGCCTCTTTAGATCTTTGCATTTCTAATTTAGATTATTGCATGACCAATAACAAGCACACCATAAATTAAGCATATACTCGTAAATGATGTTTAGAGAAACCATTAATAACTAGGCTACAAACTCAGAATAAATATTGTATACGTTTGTTAGAAAATATCAAAATAAAATGAGTACATTCATTGTCACAGAACAATAATTACTCTATTCACGGAGTACCTTTTACTTGTTTCTGTCTCCTCACTATCCCACCATAGTTTATTGACCAATTGACCATCAAACAAAAAGTTTGAAAAATTTAGACTCAAATATTAGTGAGATAAAATGTTTAAGATATAATCTAGACACTTAATTGTACAATAAGAAAAAGGTAGACAGCTAACAGAGTAGCTGTGTACGTGGCCTTTGACCTGTAATTTTGTAGAATTGAGTTTGATGTGTTGTTAGAGGAGGTAATTTAACATTGACAGGCATTGATGGTCTGTTTTGAATTAAACAACTGAAGAAAGTGTTGAGAAATTCCAAAGGATTTTGTGGTAAGGTATCGCTTTATATGGACTAAGTAGGGGAGAGATTGAACTTGATGTGTTACAGCTTACAAGTGGTGATTTAAAATTGGCCCTCGATGAGGATTTGCTATGGATAAGATAATTAAAGAAATAGTTGCAACAAAGTATGTAGATTTTTTTGTTATGTTTTTTCTTTAGATGAATGAAGTTCCATTGAATTAGAGCATCTAGAAAAGTTATTCTCCTAGAGAATTAAAACATAAGTCATTTCTAAATGTAGGATTTAAAATTTTTTATTCTCTAAATAGTACTTAATAATGTCTAGTGGCAGAAATAATGTCCAGCGATGGTGGACATTTACTTGAATAATGACTAATGGATAATGACCAATGGTCCTAGATTGGGAAATAAAAACATATGGTACTATATTGAGAAAGTCATTATATTTTAGTCCCATTTAGGTAAATTACCCATTTCCAATGTAGGGCTTGTTCTTATAAACTTCCGAGCTTCCACATTTTGCAAACGTAATGTTGGAGTGTTTGATGCATCCACAAAAGCTAATTCCAATTTATTTTCATTAAAATTTACTTCTTAAAACCCCCCTCCTTTTGAAGCTCAAAATGGCAGCTTTTCCAAAACAGTTATCTACAAGTCAGCTTTTCAAAGCTTACTATTCCTACAAGCAATGGCAAACGCCCCATTGTTTACCTTGTCTTTCTAAATTCTTAGCCTAAGAAAGGAAGACATAAACTATGTATTTGATTTATAGGATCTATTGTCTTTCTAAATTCTTAGCCTAAGAAAGGAAGACATAAACTATGTATTTGATTTATAGGATCTA